GGGGGGTGCAGAGCACTGATAAGTATCACAGGATGGGGGGAAAACAGCCCAACCACACCCCCACGTGTTCTGCTGTCCAACTCAGCCTGTGTCCTTTTCCCCAGAGCACCTCACTCCCACACTGAGTCCTCAGAACTCAGGTGATGGTGTGGCATGACACCTTGGCCACATGACATACACACATACCCAGAGCCCAGGACACTCACAGAAGCCTCGCCCTCTTCCACCAAAATTGCTTCACACCTGGAGAAAAGCAGGCCTGAAGGGGGCAACCCACCACAAGGCTGCTGTCCCAGAAACCACTGCAACGTCCAGGCACCCAGAGCCCACAAGGCAGAAGTCTGCCCACCGGGCTTGTCAATGATGTGACACTCCCAAACTCCCTCCCACTGAAGCCGTGGCACGCTCCCTCGATAAGAACCCTATAACGCTGTCACCTACAAATAAATCTTGGGTTGCTTTCGTGCTTTCAACTGGAAGCAGAGGTGTTGTCTTATCCCTAGGGCTCAGCAAGTGGCCAGAAAGCAGAAGGGCTATTGATGGGAACAGAGGCCGGAGGTAACACGTGATCAGAGGCTGGGTCCAATTAGCAGCTGGGGAATGAGGGACCAGGCAGGTCACCAGGCTGTAGGGCCAGGTTCCGGCTTCCCTCTCGGTCTCGGCTACTTTCCCGGGGGCATGACCCTGGGCATCCTCAGCAGTATTGGGATTTACAGCAATTTGAATTTCTAACAGTACTGCGGGGAAGCGACGGCGGTCAAACGGCAGTCACCCCCGCCAGAGCACGGAGTCCCGGGGTGTATTTACCAACCAAGACCAATGCTGTCTCGTCCTGGAGATAGCAAACTGCACGTGTCCTACTTAACGGAAAAGCTTATACTCAGGAGACTCAATCCAATCCCCAAACTAGCCGGCGGGCCACCCGTCCGGGGCCCGGGCATCCGCTGTAACCGACTTTGAGTTCCATGTACCGACTCTCCGAGTCCAGAGTTCCCGTGGGCGCAGGCGGGGACGCGGCGGACCGGCAGCCAGATCAAGCGGTGCCCCGCGGCCCCACGCCCCCAGTGCGCCGCTCCAGCCGGGTGGACAAGCAGTCCGAGGCCCCGGCTCAGGCCCATGTCGCGCGCGCTTACCTCTCCCCGTCGCCACGCGTGGGCCGCCGCCGCGCTCAGGCTCGCCGTGGTGGAGGCCAGAGCAGGGTGCGGGAGAGTCGGGCCCGCGCCAGAAAGAGCCGCCGCCGCGCTGGGACCTAGCCCACCGCACCCGCCACAGCGCCGCCGCCGCTTTAGCTTCCAAGATGGTCGCTCACGGGGCGGGACCGACTGCACTTCCGCTTCCGGGGTGTGGGGGTGGCCGCTCTAGGCAGCGCTGGCGGACTGTTCCCTCGTTTCACTGTTACAGCCTCGAGATATGGCGCGACAGCAATCTTAAAGTCTGGGCATTTGAACGCGGCCGGCCGCGGTTTCGCGGGCCGGATGCCAGGGCTCGCTTCCCGCAACCGGAGCGCCCTTCAGGCAGTCAGACGCTGCCAGCGGAGACACAGTGAGCGGCCGGTGGAGGCCCCACAGCCCCACTCTCAAGCTTCCCTCCAAGCTTCCTGTTCTGCAGAGAGCTGCCGGATTAGAGGCGCAGTTCCCAGGAGTACTCCCAATGAAAGGGAACCCCGACCCTCACTCCGAACACTTTTCCCAGGATCAGTCCAGTCTAGATTAGGGACCCGGAGTCTTGTTCCCATTTAACGGGAAAGCACTGAGGCCACCCATCCCTTCAGTGACTAATCCTTCCCCCTAGTGGTTACGAGTCTGTCTGGCTGCTAACCTCAAGGTCAACAGTTCGAAACTACCAGCGGTTCCGCAGGAGAAAGATGAGGCGTTCTGCTCCCGTAAAGATTTACAGCCTCGGAAACCCTATACAGGGTCGCTATGAGTCGGAACCGACTCCACGGCACACTACCACCACCACCCTCTCAGGACCCATAGAAGTCCAGTTCTGGACTGCCACCGAGGGACTTGGAGCCCTGCTGGCAAACCTGCCCCATAACTACAGGACTGTCTACACAGTCCCATAACTTTTGTGGGGAAAATGTGCTAGTAAGAATACTCCACTGTTTCCCTGCCCGCCAAGTTTTCCACCCGGCTGGTGAATAGGGTCATTGTGAGCCAGTGGACATTGGCACTGAACTTGTTTTCTGTTCCCACGGTCCCCTCCCTGGCCTTAGGCGAGTAGGGGTAGGGGGAGAGGCACAGCCAACTACCAGCCATCTGATTCAGGGCTGAGTGGGGAAGTGGCCTGCGAGGGGAAGGGGTGTTCAGGGAGGAGAGGATAATGGTTCCCATGTCACAGGGTGAGACTTTGGCTGTAGTGAATATAGCCACAGCCCTGGACTTGGACAGGCTACCCAGTTCAGACCAGCTTTAGGTCAAGCTCACATCTCCCAGCTCAGGCCCATCTAGCCTGACCACCCCTACCCCTGCCAGAGCCTTGGGTTGACTGTGGGTCCTGTGTACAGATGGACTTAACAACTTCCTTTGTTCAGGGACATGTGTGAACACCTGTGTGAATGTTTTGCATCCCATGACCACACCCTAACGTCTTCCCTTGCCCCATCTTTGCATGCTAAACTCATTATTTTCCTTGGGGCCCCTCCCGGATGTCACTTGCTGGCTTTATCCATGGACTCCTGCCTCCCCAGGGCAGAGAGCGCCAAGCATGAAAGCATCTGTCCTTTAATGTCCTCACCATCTGACTCGATACAGGGAGGTTTGGGTGAATGGTCAGTTGATGACCGGAAAAGGGGAGAGCTGCTCAGGTGAACCTATAACCACTGCTGTGAAATACAGCCAGGAATAGGACCAAGCGAGGGACTTAGGGTGCTTCCACACATTGTCCCAGGAGGCCTCTGCCCCTGTGAACTCCCCAGTAGCCGAGTTAGTAGGCTTTGAATTCACCTTTACTTCAACCCCACTTCCTCCAGGAGTTAACCTGGGCTGGTATGAGGTGGCTGACCATGTGACAATTTATGGACAATGAAGGCCTGACTGTCTACCTGGTCAGTGGCAGAGTGTGACTAGACCAGCAGTCACCCTGGCCCCTGAGCCCATGGAGCCCTGAGCCCTCGCTGGCATCATAATTGTATCTTTAGAGGCCATTCCACAGTTCTATGAAGTATCATGTTTGGTAGGTGGAGGGCTCAGAGAAAAAGAGGAAGATCTCCCAACGAGATGACTCAGGGCCCAGAAGAAGCCTGTGTGCCTCCCTGTGTGTGTGTACACAGTGCCATGAGGCAGTCCTTGCCCCAGACTCCTGCCCTGAAAGCATTCTTGGCCTGAGGCTCTCCTCCCACCTAGAGCCCATCACCTCCAGGAAGAGTGAGTGGTGCTCATTTTAACTCATAGAAAGCTATGTATGGGGGTCATCGGGGGCACTGGGAGTATAGGCACAAGGTGCACACGCAATCCACACCCACCCATAAAGCACAAACAAGGAAGAGGGCAGATCAGGGGCTTCTGCTTCTATGCATGCTCCCCATCCCATCTCATGGGGAATGATGTCCTGGCAGGAGCTTGAGAGGGTCCTGAGGAGACTATTTCTGTGGTGAAATGAATTACTTAATGTTATTATGTGGCATGGAGTCGCTTCTGACTCATAGCGACCCTGTACAGGGTTTCTGAGGCTGTAAATCTTTATGGGGACAGAAAGCCTCATCTTTCTCCCACGGAACAGCCGGTAGTTTTGAACTGCTGACCTTGCGGTTCACAGCCCGATTCGTAACCACTATGCTACCAGAGCTCCTTGAATTACTTAATATGGCTCTATTAACCATAGTCTTTGTGACTCCCATCAATGATTGAGTTGTTAAGTGCCATCAAGTTGGTTGGGACTCATAGCAACCCTGTATAAGGCTTCCGAATCTTTATGGAAGCAGAAAGTCTCATCATTCTCCTGCAAAGCAACTGGTGGGTTTGAACTACCAACCTTGTAGTTAGCAATCCAGTGCGTATCCTACAGCACCACCAACGTTCCTAGTGATTGGGTGAGACTATGCAAATAAGGGAGTCCTGGTGTGGCACTGTGAGTTAATGCGCTGGACTGCAAGATCGGTCGGCAGTTCAAGCTCACAAGCTGCTCCTCAGAAACCCTATACAGGGTTTGTGTTAAGGCTTATGTGTCAACTTGACTGGGCCATGATTTTCAGTGGTTGGCACTCATATAGTGATGTCATTATCCTCCATTTTGTGATGTGTCTATGCCTGTAATTATGATCCCATTGGGGAGTGAGGTGTCCTTTATGTTAATCAGGCAGGGTTGGGATGTCTCTTGAATCATTGACTTGCTATAGGGTTTTCTCTAAAGAAGATTAACTAATGAAGCTTATGTATATCTATATAAAGAGAGTTTTATGTCAAGGAAAAGACTCACACAACTGTAGAGGTTGGCAAGTGCCAAGTCTGCAGGTCAGATGAACAAAGATCAGAAAATCAGGTACCAGAAAGGCAGGTTCAGAAGATAAAATGGCAGGGTGCTGATGACTCTCGGGATTAAGCAGGTCACAAAACAAGCCACTGGCTCAAGTCATGATGAGGAGCCAAATGTAAGATCCAGATCCAGCAGAAAGCAGCAAGTGTCCATTATATTGGGAACAAGCCACACCCCTGAGGAAAATTCCTTTCAATTGATTGGCTACTCGGAGCAGATGTCACATACACGTCATTACATTATATTAGGTCTAATATAATGTCAGGAAGGAACAGTCGCTGGAGAAGGATGTCATGCTGGGTAAGATGGAGGGTCAGAGAAAAAGAGGAAGACCCCCAACGAGATGGATCAGCTAGGTGGCATCATTGATGGCGTCAAGCATGGCAGCGGTAGTGAGGTTGGCCCAGGATCGGACATTGTTTCGTTCTGCTCTGCATGGTTCCAACTCAATGGCACCTGACAACAACAACAATACATCTCAACTGTCAAAGCACTGAAAATCCTGGCCCAGTCAAGTTGATGCAAAACTGACCACACACCACCCCTTGTCAACTTGACACCTGTATACATCTACTTGTTGTTGTTGTTGAGTGCTGTCGAGTCGGTTCCAACTCATAGTGACCCTGTATAGGATTTCTGAGGAGTGGCTGGTGAGCTTGAACCTTGTGGTTCAAACCGACCTTGCAGTCCAGCGCATTATCCCACAGCACTACACCAGGATTCCATATATGTCCTTAAACCATATGAAATTTATAAATAAAGACAATTATAAAGTCATACCTGTGCCTAATATGATACAACTAACACATATACAACCAAAAATGTAATAATCCCATTTACATCTTGCATTTTGTAAATGAAAAAAAATTTTTGATGCACACATACAAGGAAAAAAATACTTGTTACAATTATACTCCTTGTTTCTGTAACTGGTCACATGGCCACAGCTGATATTTTAAACTCTCTTTTTCTACCACCCATTCCATATTCCCTTTTCAAGGACCTCAACTGGTTGTAGTTCTTTGCCTGGTGGGATGACTCAAACCTTCAGTCCTGAAGGGTCTGGGCTGTTAGTAGTCATGTCAGAATCAGGTTGCTGTAGCTAACCATTGACTTTGAACACAGGGCATGGTGGTACTAAGAGACGTACACCCTAAGGCATCTCCTGGATTGTACACATTCTTCTTTCCTTCCGTTATATAATGACAGTCCAGGGTCCCCTTGGTAATAAGGCTAAATCACACCACCCAATACAGTAACTCACTTCTTTGCCTGTTGATCCAGAAGAATAAGGAGCTCAAAGAGGACAGGGGGCATTTTTAAACTTCCAGTTCAATGGAATCAGTTTCTCCCAAGTGGAAATATCCCTCCTTTTGAAAATAACAGGTCCAGTCCCAAGAACATAGGATCACAGGGACAGAAAGCAAAATGTTTTTGAGAGGAACACTAGAAGTAATAATAAGTGGTGCCATTCCTATTTCCACCCCTAGGTTCCTGGACCCATGCATCCCAGCTGTTGAAGAAACAGCACGATGTATTGGACACTTGCTGTAAATCATATACAGCCTCCTGAAGAGTATTGCCCTAACCCTGCAAGAGACTGCTACATAGCTGACATCATAATTGTGTGTTCAGAGGCCATTCCACAGTTCTATCAAGTATCATGTTTGGTAAGGTGGAGGGTCAGAGAAAAAGAGGAAGATCCCCAATGAGATGGATTGGCCAAGTGGCCGCATTGATGGATTCAAGAGTGGCAACAGTAGTGTGGTTGGCCCAGGATCAGGCAGTGTTTCATTCTGCTGTGCATAAGGTCGCTATGGGTCAGTACCGACTTGATGGCACCTAACAACAACAACAACATCAAGTCATCTGTTTCAGGATGATGAGGATCATGGTAAGACCAGAGAATGCCACAAGCATGGGCCCATTGCCACACTTTATTTGCTGTGAGGTGAGTCCCTTGATCTGACGCAATGCTGTGTGAGATACCATGAGGACAGAAGAGGCATGAATGGTAGTTTGAGCAGAAGCATGCATACAGGGAAGGCAAATCTGAAGAGGAGGAT